ATAGACCCCTGTAAATATCTAAGTATAAGGTTAACAACCACTCTTGGATATATTATCAACTTATCGGGTCTATATCATGCTTCAGGCTTATTCCATGGCCAGACCCTTCTCCCTATGTAAAATTTTTGGTGTTCTGCTTTTGGTCCATTTCATCCTCTAAATACTAACGGATCATTACCTAAAAAACAATAGGGGCCTTCTTTGATCAGAACCCGTCCTAATTGTAATCGTGGCGATTGGTCCATAACTGTGGTATGTATCGTGTTTACAAATTATAATGAACAGACAGGCAAAACTCTCCCGGCAATATTTTACCCTAACTCCATATACACCTGTGATATGGCTGAAAAAAACACTACCTCTCGCCCGACCATATACACAATGCGAAACTTACAACAACCTGAAAACACCTAAAAGTTTTGTGTTAATTTTTGGCTTTTTGTTTTTCTCTTGTTGTTTTTGCTCAGCGTGAATGACAAAGAATAAACTTCTGGCAAAACTTACAACATAAGTTGTGAAGAAAAGTTCATGAGAATTGAGCGAGTGTGGCAGCAAAGCAAGAAATAAAAGTACACGATAATAAACAATCAACACTTGTTGTCAGACGAAAACAAAATCCGCACCTCATCCGTACGACCTTCCTTGAACAAAAGCACATTGCAAATGATAGACAAATAGACAGACAAAAAGTCCACAACAACAGTAAATAATACAAGAAACAAACAAACAAAGAAAGGTGGAGCATTCTTTTCGACAGTGAAATATGAAAAGAAAACAATTGAAAGAAGTTTCACGACGGCCAATAGAAGCATAATATTCCGGTGATGGGCATGAAGTAATGTCTGCGTAATAGATATGCTCTTGTTTTTGTTTGTTTTTTTTTTTGCTCTTCATGTACACTCATCAACAAATTACTTTGCAAATAATGAAAAAAGTGTCATATCAAAGTGGGAAAATATAATGCTGAGCGTAGAAATCTCACCTGTTCTTATGCCCCTTTACAGCGATTTGCGTACATCCAATCCATTGATAAAAGGAATCCAGTGAAATATTCGTCTTCACTTCCAAATATATGTGTATGTCTCCCAAGACACCCAAGATACCTGGGGCAGTTTGAAATCTTTTTGTTGAGCATATGGGCGATACTGAGTAGGAAGCATAGGGTATAACCATGAACAATGCCTATTTTTTCTATAAATGATTCTTGGATTCGGTATAAGTGATAGACATTGTACTCACATATGATGCTTTCTTCAAATTAAGGTGAATTTTTCATAGAATGTAGAGTAGAATGAAGCCTTTTCTTCAGATGGAATATACATTTGGATTCTAGTAAGGATATGCACGTCTATAATGACGCCCATTATTATATAAAGTACGACAATCATTAAAGGAATGAAAACGTTGATGCGTTGGGGTAAATACATACTTACATGTGTGCATACGCTCGGGCTAAATGCAACTGCGTACATCTTTGGAATGATAATCTTAAAATTGTTCTACCCTTTTTTAGCGGTCTAGAAACAAAGCAGTAAATAAATATTCAAAACGTATGAAATGTGTATTGTGTTCATTCTGTTCATCGTGTTGCATAGTTTTAGGCTTTATAAAAACGCCACAAACTCAATAATTTGTGTAAAATATTTTTTTTTTCAGAACCGGAATGGGATCACTGTGGCCAGAGATCCCGTGTTCTGACCATAATTAGAGCTGAGGGTTTATGAAATAAACAAGTACTACATATGAGGGTTTTTGGGGACGCTGATTACGATTAATTAATCAAATTATTTTTGAACACGGAACTATGGCCGCGGATTACAAATGTGAAACCAGATTTTAAAAATAAAATAATATTAGTCGAAAATAGCGGATCAAACTTACCAAAAACTTAATATTTCATATCCTAGCAGTATTTAATATGAAATTATCATAAAATCGTTGTTTTATGTATGAAGGGCTTAAAAGTATGACACACCTCAATTGCATTTGAAATATCGACGATTTAGTTAAAAAACGTGTTAAAAATCCCTAAAATACCGAATAAGGGGGACCCGTTTAGTGGACCAAAATTGATCATTTTTGGTAAAAAATTTTGTTGAAGGTGAGACTACAATCTTTAAATGTTATCATCAACATGCTATGTTATTAATTGTCAATTTTCAACGACTGTTTTAATAAGGAATAACTGTTAAGTTTATGAACGGTCGCAAAGTTCGCAATATTAAGGCGTCGGTTGGTGGTATAACCATTAAAATATCCTCTGGCACTGCCAAACCGGAACTCAAATGCTTTGAAAACAATCATATTTATAAGTCTTATATATGCAATTTTTGATGATAATCTTCAAATTACTAATATTTTTTCACTTTCATTATAATCACCAGTTCCATCTCTTCAATGGATTGTAATTTTATGTAAATATTTTGATACATCTCAAGGGTTATATAACATTTTTCAAATATAAATTTTATTCAGAAAATATGAAATTTTATTCAGAAAGTATGAAATTTACTTGTGTAAAGCTTAAAGTCCCTAAATTAGAAATATAAAACGCCTTTTCCTCTGTACCTGAAATTGACTTTTTGCCAAAAATTTGATTTCTGGTCCATAGTGCGAAAAGTCTGTGATTTTTGCTCATTGATGCTAAAATATCATTATAGCATCAGGTTTTAACCGAATTTCCCAACCAAAACCTGTTTAATTCAACGTTTCGGGTTCTTGGAGGGCGACATATACATATCTATGCAGGACATTTTTTCATAGCCCAGTTATTAGAAACATTTTCCAACCGAAGTAACTGTTACGTGGCACTTCGGGTTTTTATTTTCTAACAGAAGTAGCTGAAATTTGCCATTCCTCGCTCTTGATGGGTCCTAGCCGAATTTATTAACCAAATATAGTTGTATACAAATTCTCCAGTTTCATGCTTTGGCATAGCCCCCATATACGCAACCGATCGATTTATATAATTTGAATGCGCATCTCATGGTGAAAGGTATAAAAAGTTAGGACCAGTCGAACTTAACTTCGAATTTCTACGCCGGATTTTCGATTGGTTAAAAATGTGTCAACAAAGGTTAATGTTTGTCAACGACGCTCTTCTACGCCTCGTCCGAGTATGGGTATTGTGAAAGTAGCACTCAACAATCGAGTTTTTTTGAGCTCCATAACCACTGCAGATCCTCCTCTTGATATGGCTTGTATTTCGCAAGGATTGGAAGAAAAATAGTTTACCTTTTCTTACACAACCTAGAAAATGTCAAATTTGTTTTTAGCTACATATTTGTTTTCGGTTACTCTCATCCATATTTTTCATCTTGCCACATAATTATTGATGCTGCACACTTCAATAGAAACAAAAACATAAATATCTACATGAAAACATATACTACATATTGATCTACAAACATAAACTTAAGATTATATATGTGTGTGTATATATTGTAATAATACATTTAAGAGAGCGAAAAACAAAAAATGCAAGAATCCCGCCAAAAGATTCACCGAAATAAAATCACTTTGCATGACAATGTGTGTGTGTGTGTTTGTGATTGTGTGCAAATTCTGAATGCAATTGTATAAACGTTTTTGAAAATCCAACACATCAGCCATTGGCGGAGTTAGAAAAGTGTGGGTAAATCAAACTGAAAAAAGGATTGTATGTGGAATACTTTTGCAAACAGACACATACACATACATGCACTAAAATAAACATTTTAGTACGTTAAAAATAACACACAAATAGAGGAATACATTACTCGCACACGCACACATACACATGCATCCACATGTACACACAAGTGCTATGCATATTCATATTCTAATAGCACAAGACCAGAAGACTCGCATTCGTATTCCTTTATTTAGTTTTGCTGAAGTCCTTCATTGAAGCCTGCAATTACATGTAGACACCTATGTAGTGGTGAATTGCAAATGTAAGCAGTGAGTTTCTAAGTGGGACAGATACAGTCAATCACTGGCCAGTGAATTGGGATCTGTTGCCATGTTCCAGAATTCATTTCTGTATTACGCCAGTACATCATCTGGTCGACATAATCCGACATTGTGGAAATGACAAATGCTGTGCTTCATTTTAATTTCTAGGAAGAATATTTCTGCTGTCGAATCATGATGACTGTCATCAGAGTCATCAGTAAACAATCGTTTAATGTGAGAGAAGAAACATTGACAAAAAGCCGCTGCCACCGCCACATCCAATGTGAATGGAGGTGACAAAAGCATTGGTTACCTGCATTTGCATCTGAAGTGTTAGTGCTTTCTGGATTTACTTCCCATTCGACTTGTAGGACGTTTTCGTACTTTGTACGATTGCTGCATCCGTTTCCAGGAAAATGTGCGCACACTTCCCCTACCAATGAGACATGTGCCTGCAGTTATGCAAAAAAATGCAAAACTGATTTTTTTGTCAAGCACCTTTCCAGCCTACTTGGAAAAGTTTTTAAGTCAACTATCAAAACACACTCACACATTCACAACAGCACACACACGCACACACCGATCCACATGTTCGCAGAGGCAACGACTCATACCAGAGAAGGTAGTTGTATATTTTTAATTGCAATGGTGTTAGCAATTTGCCTTCAGCCAGGATACCATGTTTCCTCTTCCTCTTGTATGTTTGTTTGTCTTCCTCTTCGTCGACTTCTTTTTCTGCTGCTGGTGTTTTCTGTATGCTTTTCTTTAGTCTTTTATTAGAAGCTCTGTGTGATATTCATTGATTGAAGAAAATTGTTTAATTGTTTGCTTTTCCTTGAGATGATGATGGCTATACATTAGGGTGCACGAACATATACTTACAGACATTGTTAAGTACACACACACATACACGTACCTCTTCAAATTTATTATCATTCCTTGTATGTGAACATTGTTTCCTAATTAATTGTATGCCATAGTTCTGTGGGGAGTTTGTTTTTTATAGGATGTGATTCATTTTTTCCTCACATGTTTTCACTTTGTTTTCTGTTTTGTTATTTCAGCCCCACCATCGTCAATTGAAATACAGGGATACGAGAACAATGCCAAAGTGGAGGTACGAGAAAATCAGGACCTTACATTGAAATGTGTGGTTTCGAATGCCAAACCAGCTGCACAGATTGTTTGGTATCGTGGCAATGTGGAGTACAAACCAGGTAAGAATCGATGACTATGATGATACTTAGTAGTTGTAATTTAATTATTAATTTATCATGTTTGATTTGTAATATCCAATATAAAGTTTAGTATAGAGAACATGCGCATACACCGTTTGGTGCATCAATATTGAGGCATCTCGATACTAATGTATGAATTAATTATAAATAGACTATGTAATATAAACAAGGTTAGGAATACAAACAACATTTCAAAACTGGCTAGGATTCCAATCTAATTTTCAATTGTGAACACACAAATTTCCAAACAAATTAACATTAACTTCAAATGATTACACAAAAAATGTATGGAAAGTCTATCGCTACAACAAAAATGTATTTGAGAAATACTGCTAACAAATGCCGAACTATTTATGGATACGATATAAATTTTTGTGAGTAATGTTTAATGTAATCGTATTGGTCTTCCACATCTCCTAATGTTGGGAATATTACCATTCCTTATATGACTATGTGAAAAAGAGAAACGAATTAAAAATAAAAAGGATACCTTCTGAAATGGAATAAATATAACAACTTTTTACTGTTTTGTCCTTGAAACACATATAGTTTTAATTATTTATTTGTTTTAATTATACCATACCTTGTATATGGAAATTTCATTAAATTAAAAAATTACATAAATCATGCTATTCCGTTATATTAAAAAAACACAAAATGGCGAAAAAACTAACTTGACAGGTAAAATGGACCAGTATATGCGGGCAAGGTGGGCCAGAGAAGTAAAAAACTGGTTTGCTTATGATGGACAGGGTTGCCTGAATGCAAAATACATGACATATGTTTCGGAATAGTATTTTGAAGATCCTAGCTTCATTATCCAACCGAAGCTGCTATAAATTCACATATCGAGTTTTCAGAGGGTAGAATACCTCCTGGCAGAATTGTTTTTAATGTGGGCCCATGTTTCGAACTAGTCTCCATGTCTCCGCTTTTTAGATTTTTTTATTCAAAAATAATTTTCGGCTTGAAAAATAATTACTGATAATTGTATATTTTTGTTGTAGAAAATAAAGAAACGGATAACATATTTTTATATTTAAGAAAAACAAAGAGTTCGACTCTTGTGCTAAATGTTAAAATCACACATTTAGAATCAGAGTTTAGCTAAATTTTCAACATTGTTATTATATATTCAATATCATATTTGATGTCTGCTTTTACTATTTAGGAAAACATATAACAAAGCGGCGTTGTCATTTGTCAAGAACTTTCTTAGATATGGGGGTGGTTTACAATAGACGCATAGTCCACATTAACCGAAGTTACTCCACGAAATTTAGAGATTTATGATATAATGCATTATATAGACATTTCCGCAGTTACTCACACCACTTTCAGTGACATTTCTTGTTATGTTAAATAAATCAAACATAATTAATTCTCGCATAATACGTTATTGTAGTATTTCAAGAATACTAAACAAATTGAAGATTCAGGGTTTGGTTTTTGTTGAAATAGGTTTCCTTAAAACGTCTATATTATATATATATATATATATATATATGTTTCATTTATTTACCAATGCTATGTGGTATCTCCATTAGCTTAAAGTTTAATTTTATTAGAAAGACGAAAGTTAATGACTTTGCGAAATGGCTTTGGCAATTATTCGCCTAATCAGCATTTCTAATCCAGAGATTTGTCGTCATGTGTCCCGAACAGCAGACCTTTGAGCCCATCATCATATACATTTATTAATCAAGAAAGTAATTTCGTGTCTATGGCATTCATAAGATTTAATCACATCACTGTCACAGTGACAGTCACTGGCCCAAGTCAATCAGTTCGGATGGCTAGTAGAAAGCCAAACCATCCGAAGGCCACAAAAAAGGCAAAGGAAAGAAAAAGATTTGTTAACCAAATAATATGTAGGTATGTAAAAGCGAACTATAGAAACAATGCGGAAGAGGGTAGGTGGAAGAAAAATGAAAAAAAAGAAATATACAAATTATCATCATAATTGAAAACCATTAAATAAAATGTTCTCACACAGAAAAAGTTTACCTTTATCTAGTGCAACTGAACTTGCTAAGTGAACAACAACTTTTTTTGTTTTGTTCTTGCCGTTTATGTATTACAAGCTTTCGGCTTCGCATATCCTGGGCCCTGTTAACTTTTTGTTGTTGTAATTTTTCTATTTTGTTTTTATTGTCTGTGTGTTTTTGTGGCCGTTGATAGCAAAGTCATCATAACTCATGTTAGTAATTGTTTTGGAAGTTGGCAAAGGCCAACCAAACAAGCTACACAAACAGATACGGATGCTACGGACGCATACAAATGTTAACAATAGCCTCAGGAGAACGAACAACTGAGCCAGCCAATCGCTTATAACAATCCCAGTGGCCGCAGTAGCAGCGCGCTGTGGACAGAGAAAACATCACTACAGCGGTTAAAATGAATGGTAGACAGAATTTTTTAAAAGCAAAGATAAACATTAATTTATTTTATATCCCAAATGAAAGCACCGACTAAACGGCTGGAACCAACACACACAGACTATTACGTATTAATATATGGGACCGGGCAAGTGATGGATCTTCTATTAATAACGAAAGTGTCCGCAACAAAGTTCATTGGGAAATTGTTCTGTATCTGGTTGTAGGGTTTTAGATTTTGTCGTTTTTTTCATAGGCCAACAATGGTGAGAAATACACGGAAACAAAAAACCTATGAAAATCAAAACAAGAGGTGTATTCGAAGGACACTGTTTATGTAGTTATTCTGTTGTTGGTATCTGATAAATTATACAAGGGCGTTAAATTAGGTTTTATATATCAAGAAGTAAAAACGTCGGCCAGGTCGAAACATGAAGAAGATATTCAAAATACACAAAATCGATTGGTATATTTTGTATGTGCACCATGTTATAGTAAATTGCTGGCAGGGAAAAACGAATGGCCTAGCCCAATTTTCTAAACTGAGACTCACAAAAAATAGGATAGGGTCTTAAACATTGAATTTCATTGAAAATGTTAAAAACTCTTGGGCCACATTTCTCATTGGATTTGACAGAAGAGATGTGATCCCAAAAATAACCTGCAACTGACAAAGATAGACAAATTTGTCCTTTAGAATCTCTCATTGACATAAGGAATTGTTTACCCCAAAAATCTTGTTGCAAATTGTTACGCCACCGATTATAGCGTAATATTTTGAGGTATTTGGAGTTAACTTTGGATGAAAAATATGTTCTATGAATATTAGTCTCTGGATTTCATTGTTATAACTCTTTTTTTCCCCCATTTCAAATGTAGGTTTATATAAACATTGTAATCAATTTGAAAAAAATCTATAACTAGTTTTATAGGAGATTTCATTCCCTTCCTTTCATAATAAAATATTTTATTTCGTCGTAAATAGAACAATATATATATATATATATATGTAGCAATGCTGGAGATGTGGGATAAATACATAAGGACCACACACACTTGATGACGATGCTTAAATGATAATTTTTTTTGGACATTTGCAAAAGCAAAAATATGCCGGAGAAAAACAACAGATATCCACAACAAACAGCCGAAAATATGATTAAAACTTGTGTCTATTATAAGAGCGAATACTGTGGTCTGTAGAGCAGGAGAATAGCTGTGGTGATGGTGGTACTTATGAAAAATGTTAATGTCAATGAAGGCCATCATAAGTTTGTTTATATCTTGTCTCATTCGCAAACGACACATACTTGAGTTGAGGCAGCATATATTAGGGTATGGCTTATGCCGGGGGATTTAAGGGAACATGTTGAACAACACAAGTGAAAATGCGAGAGAGTAGATGTTGGTGGAAGGAGAGTAGAATAGTGGGAGAGAGACAGAGAGGAAGGTAGAGACGGGGACCGTAGGAAATCCATAAGAATTGTATTTAAAATGATAATCATGATTTTTATGGCGAATAATTTCACCATGTAACCCCACGTCCTCTCTTGTAAACTCATATTAAGGCATTTATTGTTTTCCACCACGCCACTTGAATGGGCAACTGCGTGGTGCTCCGTCTATGGCCATTCTAGTAGCTGTATGTGAACGTCATGTATTGTCATCATCGCCAGCATTAGTATCAGCATTATCCCAGTCATCGTCATATGATTCTTTCGTAAAACTCAGCTTTTCATGTTCCTTCCGTTTTAACCAATTGTGTGCGTGATGCGTGTATATGAGGGCGAACTTTGCCTCATTCCTCCTCTCTTAAAATTGTAACAAATGCCATTTATGCGAATAACGGAACCATTTAGACACAGCTGCCATGATATGGAACAAAGGCCGAAAAAAAAACTCTACACTCTAAATGAGAGAAAAGTGTAAAAGCATGATAGGCGAATGACAATATGTACGGCAAAAAAACCTATTCTTTTGCTCCCGCTCCTACGCACCGAATATTTAAATGGAAATATTGTCACTGACGTGCACAAAAATGATATGATGAGTTGCGATTATGACACGCTGTGCAGGTAATACAAGTTTGTGTGTGTGCGTGTTTTTTTAACTATGCCATGATGTTCTGAACACCTACCATAATAGAGGCTGGGCAGTTATTACTCACACATTTGCTGGTTAATTTGCATTGTTGTTCCATAACAACTGTCACTTAAAGTCACTATATCAATTCAAAGTACCAAATGTATTACGTTTTCACATTACCATCCTATGTGACCTCAGCAAAATATGATTTGAGAGAGTGTGTGTGTGTGCTATTACGTTCAGTCAGTCTGTCCGTGCCACACTTATTTCCGACAATCATCCAAAATGTATTACACACTTTTTAATAGTCATAACGTTGCGCTACTTCACTTTTTAGATGACAATGGCAAACTTTCGGAATTCGTGTTCGGTAGATTGCCTCTTGCGTAAATTTAACTTATTTATCTTTACACAAGCGTGCATTCTTAGACAAAACTTTTGAGAAAATAAATTTTGTGTGCTTCCCTCAAAAATGATGCCTTTCGAAGGCAACCGACATTAATGTGCAGAGGCTGTTATAGCTCCACGCGGGTTATATTATAAAATGCTGAAGATATTTTGAAGAATAAAACGTAGATTTTAAAACAGAGACATTTGTTTAAAATTCAGGAAATAGTTTTTAATGCTGATCGATTGTAAATTCAAAATAAAATTCCATTTGGGATCGTTTTAAAATCCATTCATAATAGAGCTCGCAATATTTAAAAACGATACACATTGCTAATATATGTTGGTATGGAAAATGAGATATATCGGTCCACGTTTAATGGTACCTCTCCATTTTCGGAATTTCAAAGGTTATGGCCGCATTTTACTGCAATATGACTTTCCGGGTCTCTGGAGATTGACAAATATCTATTAAAAAAACTGTTCCGCATTATCAAACTGATGAAGTTGCAATTAGACATTATGTGTTCCTGGAAGTTGAAAAAAAAATATTTTTCCAAAATTTTAACAGATTCACGTTATGGTAGAGCACAATTTTTGCTATTTTGAAGGTTTTAGAGTTTCTCTTGTGGAAAATACATTTGCTGGTATATGTTTAGACATGACACTCATATAAAGGTTTGCAACATTTAAGTATTTTGATGGCCATTGGTGCGCTTTCCAGCCAAAGTGCTTGTCATTTGGAATTCTGGGTTTTTGTATGTAAATAATTTCGTCACAGACAATTGTAGGTAAATTTTGAATTCTTGGGGGATGTGCAAGATTATTTTTATGGCTGGTCCAAACATGACATAACCTATCAAGCATTGTGAAATATATTTTATAGCAATTTTGGTATTTGTATGCAATCAGGTTGACCCGGTGCCAGAGATCCAATTTTTTACATAATTAGAGCAAAGGGAAGTAAATAATTATACAACATATACGGGTCAATAGGCAATAAATATTAAGCTATGAATTCTGGTCAGAGAATATATGAAGTCGACGTTTGGTATTCTAACCACTACCTCTGGCTGTGTGTTGTTTCTAAAGCTCTTTTTTTTTTAAAAAAATATTATAATGCATGTATTTATGAGTTCCATTATATACTAAAAATATTCACTTTTATTCCAAACACCAGTTCCATCTGTATAATTGACCGTCATTTCATGCAGGTCAAAAGTCATTGTTATATAACATTTTTCAAATATAAATTATATTCACAAAAATATAAAACAGTAATAAAATATCTAATTCGAAATTAAAGTATGTCATATGTATATTCAGTGTAAAGGTTACATTTGCACCTAATAATTAAAATTTATAAAAAAAACAACCAAAATTTATAAAATAAAAAATTTTATGAGGCTTGAAAGGAATAAGTTTTCAAAGGTGCCCCTTCTCTACTACATTTTGAAACTTGTCATAAAATATTCCAACTTTAAATTCAATTCATAATTAATTATTGGATTATTAACATGTATCCATGATTTAAATAGTTTTATTGTTTGATATTTTACATTTATTTATTTGATATGCAACTGATTTAATTCATTTGGATCAGAGTATGATATGAATATACTCTTTAATGCAGGCAATTAAAAGTTAATTATATTAAGAGTTGTAGATTTACTTTAAAGCCTTATGGATTGTTAAACAAAAATAAACTGAATACATATGTATACATATATTGGTATGATTTTTCAATTCAATTTGATAAAGCAAGTTAATAAACGGATTACTACAATTCATTTAGTTTATGAAAAAAAAAATTAATTTTAAATATTTCATTACAGACCGTTGGTAGTTATTTCATGGGTAACGAAATTAGAAATAAACAGTTTGGAATAAATGTTTTGCCTTTTCATGTTTGTAATATGCTTTATATATAAATTACAACCAGTGTTGCCAATTTAGCACTTTTAGTGCTAGATTTAGCACTTTTGAAACTCGATTAGCACCATAAAAATTGATCTAGCACCTAGCATCTTTTTTAGCACTTTTTATTTATTTCTGGATATTTTCAAAATATTCCGTCTATTTGATTTTATATCAAAAAATTTGCTGTTTTTCGATTCCACATAGAATTTTTTTATGTTTCACGTTATTATTTTTTTAATGTTATAGAAGTGTCAGTATATCTGTGAACAAGTAAAAAACACTACCCGGCCGAACTTGTTATAAACACCACGTTGAACACCACCCTACACCACGTGGTGTTTATTAAAAAAATTGTTTTTTGGGAAAATGAAAAAGACAATCCTGATTATATTTTATATTATAAACTTTCTGGAATGTCAAATTATAGCCACTTATAGTACCACGTCCCACTTTATATGGAAGTTATGTCAAAAATGGACATACATCGAAAAATTTCGCCAAATATATTTTTTAAATTACAACCACTTCGGTGGCAAAGGGGTTTTAAAACTTTAAAATGATGCGAATAGGACGGAAATTTTATATGGAGTATATGAAAAATATAGAAATTGTCCGCATAAATATTTTGTACCCTAACAAAACCCATAGAATACGGCTAAATCCCTCAAAATACCGAAAATAGGTCGGTACTTTAAGCCAGCCTCCGAAGCCTACGCGCAATGTGATATTACAATCAATTCTATTAAAAACCGTTTCCGGTCGCTCTCTGGAGGCTACCCCGAAACGGCCCAATATTGATAATTCTTGGTATGGAGATTTCCTGTCTAATGGGAATCCAAAATATCAAATTGAAACCACTTCGGTTGAATAATGTGCCTAAAGTCACCAAACCACCGAATTATGGAGGTACCGCTATATACCAAACCCCATATTGATAATGTTTGTTAGGCAGTTTTTTTATGCCCTCAGCCTTATGGCTAATGAGGGTATATACACTTTGATACGGTGAAAATGTGCCTCATGGAGATGTTGGTTTTAGACCCCATGTTTCTTTGGACCAAATCCGTTTCAGAAAAAATGGAGTCGACTTACGCATGTCCGTCCGTCTGTCTGGCTGGTGCGCACGATAACTCTCGAAGGGAATAATCGATTTCATTCATTTACATTTAATATTTCTTCCAAACATAGTTTAAGTTCGAAGATGGTGAATATCGGTCCACTCCTACTGGTACCTCCCCCCAACATCGTAAAAATTATGCTAAAAATCAATTTCATAATAACATGCAAACGGACCATCCGATTTCAACCAACAACCTATTATATTTACCAATCCTACATTAAGTATGAAGATGGGACCCATTGGTGCCATCTCCCACAGATGGTCAAAATATTTATAAATGCAATATCAGGCGATTATTGCATTGGTATATTATCTATACCAATTCCGAAGATTGGACCCAGTAGTTTATACAATTTTATCAACATTAAATCCGAAACCTCATTGATAAAGACATATTTCTTATATACAGCTAATAAAAAAATCTGTGTGTAATTCCGAAGACCTCCGCAAACTATAGGCTGGGGGTGTGTATCTGTCGGTAACACCGACTGACACTTTTTTACTTGTTTCCGATGAAAATCCAAAATATCAATTTATAGCTTATTAGGTGGGGGATACATATATCCCATTTTCATTTTCCATTTTCAGAATTTCAAAGATCTGTCATCAATATTGCGAGCTATGGCTATATCGACATAGAATTTTATTCAGATTATGAATAAGTAGGATATCAGATGAATATTTCCAGTTTTTGCAAGCAAATTTTAAGAAATTTCAATTTGAAGATTTCATTATTTGCTTTAAGCGAAATTCCTTCTATAAACTTTTTAGCACTTTTATTTGGCACTTTTTTAAATTTTTTAGCACTTTCTAGCATTTTTTTAAACAAAATCTAGCATTTTTTAATGACGAAGTTTTGGCAACACTGATTACAACATACAATTTGCAATACACGTTCAATATTCTGAATAAACTTTGCCTAGGACAGCAATTCTTAGGATATTGTAATTTTTGACGATATAACAATTCAAACCGGCGCATATGCAAAGAACCCATGGAAGTATTATTTATCATCCAATTTGTTATGTCAATTATTATATCACCTCGATCAGATTGTGATCACGAAATATTATTATGTATTTTGTATTTCAAAAACGTAATATTAATAGGTTCAGGGTGCGTATGAGTTACATTCTGTTGGATAATAGTATTATAACTCATACGACTAGCTGGCCAGATATCATGGTAAATCAAACAACATTTTTCAGTAAAATTAAAAAAAAAAAATATTGTTTTTCTTTGTGAATGGAAATTATATTCCAATCTCCTTGTTAACATTTTTATAATTATTTGTATCTGTCTGATAAGAGTTGCTTCCGACTGCTTATAAATCATTCGATATTATTTGTATATTTATACCCTTCATCTCATGTTTATTTTTATATTTATACTCTTCATGTCATTTTTAATTTTCTTTTTTTGTCTTCTTTTGCAGAAAATCGCAACGATAAAGTCGAGGAAACTTCACCGAAACGTTTTACCACCACTTCCAGTCTGAAGTTGAAACCTACTGCCGATGATGATTACACGGAATATACATGCCAAGCAAAGCATAAGGCCTTGGCGCCAGATATGCCAATGCGAGCCACCGTACAACTGTCCGTTTTATGTAAGTGAATTTATAATTTAGATATAAGTGAAATTATATATTAGACTATGAGGGTGTAATGCGTGTATCTAATATAAATATTAAAATGTTGAAAAGTTAAACATTTAGTATTTTCAAATAACGACTTTTTATGTTTCTGAACTAAATAATTATGTCTAGAATTTTGAAAAAAATCCATTTTGAAATGACGATAAAAATCAACAAAAAATAATATTTATAGCTTTCTAATTTTCGTTTTTGAGAATAACTTGTCTCATGTAAATTGTGGCTAACCCCACAAATAATCTAATAGCTTAATTCATATTTATATAATTACTCGCAAAATCTTTGCCCGAGTACATACTTAACGGTACATCCTATTAAACATACGCTCCATTATCAACTCACCATAACCCCAAACAGTTCTATGATTGTGTGGTAGTGGCAGGAACTTTTATTCCTAAATTTTCTGAGGATTTTATATTTTTTGGAAATTTGCATATTCGGAATGTGTTGGAATTACCAAAATGTTGTTGAACACACACACTCAAGCGCACAAGGCCATTACCAAGCGTGAGTGTGATTAAAATTACAATGTGTCTCTATATACGAGGGTGTCATGTCGTCTGTTTGTGTGTGTTGTATCTAGTGCCTAAGTATTGGTGATTCTGGATTTGAAATTTTTGCCTCATTAAAAATAATTTTGCATAATTTACACTCGCTACAACTTTCACCGTCCAACTAATGACTGGGTGGCTGGCTAGCTAGTTGGGGGAAAGGACGACTCGCTCATAATTATGAACCACAACTCACACTTTCTCAGCACTCAGTTTCACAATTCAGCTATCAGTTCACATTGGTGGTGTCGTTTATGCCGCCTTTGTGGAAAATTTATGTGATGGCAATAAATACTTTTAATATTTGCAAAAAAACTCATATTTTTAACGTCATTCGTTTCATTTGTGGACAGATGGACGGACAAACCAACAGACATTTATGTGTGATGAGTTCCCGCTACAATTTATGATAATCCCCCTTAATTGGTCCTCGTTTATATTAAAATAAAAATCATTGTAAATAGCAGAGAAAAAAGAGAAAGCTAAATAATGCGAGAGAGACCAGGCAAGGGGAGTTGACAACGAGGGGAGTCCTGACAACAGAACAACAACACCAACAATCAATGTGCAGCGAATCAATGAACATGCACACACACACATATACATATACATATTACAATAGTGCAATGCATACAAAGTGGTTCGCAGGTTCACCAACCGGAAAGAGTATGAAATCAACTTCCGCGCTGGATGGCAATGTAATCAGCCACAAGCAACCGGATCCAGCAAAGGATGAGAAGATATGGAAATTAATAAACATTTGCTTAATTTACGCTTGTAAATAATCATTGCCAGCACAACGAAATACGAGAAAATCCAAATATAAAAAAAAACAGAAATTATAATAAAACAAATTAATGCGAATACTTGATCATCATTAAAATGGACGGAGATGTTTACGTTTTGCAATTCGAAAAAGCGTGCAACAATTTAATTGACAGCTTACTTGGTAAATATTACATTCACAGTGCAAATGTATATGTGTATGTAGTCGCCCTTAAAATCAGTTCCACAGATATTATATTAACCTACTTAACAAATTACAGAAATAAATATGTCAACACCTGACAATATCTCCAAAATGTGTCACGTATTCACAAACGAGAGAGAGAGATTTTAATTCTATATATTTGGATTGATTGATACGAGAGTCATGTAGCCTATTATAGTGTATACCCGAAAAAGGTAAAACATTGGGGGCAGTCATTTGAAAAAAGTAAATGTTGCATCTTGTGGATTGTATGTTCTATATACTCCGAACTCGTTCTTTACACAGACAACCAACGGCACTCTATCTTATTTCAAAATTCTCATAAATGGTGTTTTTAATGATAGATGAGATGATCGATTCAATTCAATCCGAAATATTAGCTCACGTCACGCAATGAAAGGAAAGTACGGTCTGATTTGGGCAGTAATCAATAAATGCATATGGCAGCATAAATTTGTTCCGAAAACTGAAGATTTAAGCATCTGTAATGTACCATCTGTATTCCACCTTTCAATTTAATATGTTACAAACAATACTATGCAATCTTTTTTTTTATTTTAAAATACAAAACTAATTACATTAAATTCAAGGTTACTCAACTATCACAAAAGTGTATGCACTATATTTTACGTCAAAATATATCACAAAAGTTTAAGCGATTTCAAATTAATTACAAAAATTTGTTTCTATAATGCAACAAAATGTGCATTGTTACGCAGAAAAGAAGATAGGACTCAACGCACAGCACCGCTGTACACCAACTTGTAATAGTATCACACCAGCAAGTATCAAAATATCCAAGCGATAGACAATAAATTCAGATGCGATATAAAAACAAAATAAATGGATGTATGTATTTATGTATGTGACCAACGTCAAGTCTTGTTGAAAATTTTAACAAATTTATTTTTAGTTGGTGGCAACAAAAATGCGTCCAGGTTTACCGTACATGTCAAACCAAAATATGATGGAAATTGCTTATCAATATTTTATAACAATAAAACGGTACAAGTCCTCAGGACATAATGTGCAACTATTTTATTCGGTTGAGTTTTACACATACTATAACACGGAGCATTCTGGGTGGTGCCAACAGTTTGTGGCCTTTGCTACCGTACACCGGTAGCTGCCCGGAAAGAGGGCAGCCACTAAATTGTGGATGTTGCACATGACGTGTGTCTACACGGTGGAGGAGAGGGCATCTCATGAATATGCAACAAAATTCAATTTAAAGCGGCGGCAAATAATGTGGCAGCATGCGACAGATAAATTCAATTATAATAAATTTCCAAGGCCCTCGGCCATACCTTCTTCCCACCCACCAGCTACCTATCTATCCATCCATCCGTCCAAGCCAAGCCAAGTCAGCCTGCCTGCCATCCAACCAACGATCCACATGCGTTGCTGTCTCTCGTCCGCCACTATGAACACCTGGCCGAAGGCTATTGTATGCAAACACATTCATTGTCAGCTTGTAAAGTGCTGCAATAAATTTAAGCGATGGACTGGAGCGGTTGCACCACCGAAAGTGGGGATGAAATCATACATTGGCCACAAACAACAGCAACAACTAGGAACAAATTATGAAATTTTTACAGTTTTTTTATTGGTAGAATCTCGTATGGTCGGAAGTTCTCTAATTGTGGCAGTTTTGCGGTATACCTATATTCACATTCCCATAAACTATGGTCGGGCTGAGAGTGTGTGTGGGTGGGTGTCAAATACTGCAGCTCTATCGCCATCCATAGGACGTATGATATCTATGTGTCGCTGTGTGTGTATGTGTGAGTGTATTTACAGGTATCATATGGCCAAAAATGAGATCATAATTATGGCAAAATTTGTGTTTGTGCAGCATATTTTTTAGTCTAATTGAATTGAAAAACTTTTTAATAAAATATAAAACGATTTTTTTATAAATGCAATAATGTTGGAAACTGATATTAAAAAAAAAAAAACAAATTTTTCATTTTAATTTTAAATTAAAATATAATTTTATAGAATGCTAAATTCACAAGAGCTAGGTTTGTCATTACTGAAGACAAAAATTTCATGAATTTCATTTGTTTGTGACAGTCAGTGAATGCAGTCATCTCTATTTAAAGACCATGCTACTTTAACGCCGTATCTTAAATTTCAAATTCAATATTGTTTCAATTGTATTTATCCCAAATGGAAGATAGCAGCTACATCTACATTCCCATGCCATTGAACATTTAGTTGGCCATTAAATATTGTGAATGTGAGCTGTGCATGTACCAGAGCGCCAGGTGAAGTGTGGTCAAATGTTTATGTTCGGGGAAAATAGATTAAAGCCTAATTAAATACTAATTGCATGCATTACGAGTGTTGTAGATGGCGACGTATGTGTATTGCAAGGAGTACTTGTGTTATCATGACTGTGTGTTGGTGTTTAATAAAAATACCTAACGAACACATATGTGCCATATTTTATATTTAGGTAATACACCATCTGAAATAGTACATATTATTTGGTATTTCATTTGCATCATTTCAAAATATGCATCGGAGAGCGTATAATTATGGATCTGTTGATTACGTTAACGTACTAATTTAATATTTCATAGAGAGAGATTTTTGCAATTTCATATTATTTAGGAGACTCTGTATGATTATAGATTATTTCATAACTAAGGCTCTTTTTATACCCTACACAACTATGTTGTTAGGGTATTATAGCTTTGTGCAGCCCCAAAAGTTTGTAACGCCGCGAAATATTGGTCCTTGACCCACCTTTAAGTATACCGATCGTCATATCTCGACTAGCTGAGTCGATCTGGACATGTGTGTCCGTCCGTCCGTCTGTCCATTATAATTTGTAAACACGATACAGGCCACAGTTATGGACCAATCTTCATGAAGTTTTGCATGTAGGATGGGTTCTGGCCAATGAAGGCCTCTATTGTTTCTGGTGAAGATCGGTTAATATTTTGGGGATGAAATGGACCAAATATTTAATTTTTTTTCGGTTTTTCTGGTCGCTCCAGAGACCGCAATTAGGGTCCGAACATCGCGAAATTTTACATGGAGAAGGGAATCGGGCCAAAGAATAAGCATGCCTGTTTTGATAAAGATCTGCCAATATTAAGCGGGTCAAATTGACCCTGACTTTTGTGTGAAAAATTACAAAATTTGTATTCTATAGCGTATATATTTACCCCTGAAGGACACAGATCCGAGAAGTTGATACTATATCCAAGAGGAGTGGTTGACCTTTAAATTGATACCAATTATGTTGTCGTACGTACTCGGATGTGGGAGATAACTTAAATATTTACAGGTGTTTACGTATTCAGATATTATTTAGTAACCCATTACCACATTTGAGGGCGGAAATATAGCGCTGATCGCTTTGAAATTTTCCATGAGGTTCTAGTTATGGTCAAGGACAACGCATATAACTTTTGGTGATGGACAAATTATACTTATGGGATGAAGTGGACCGAATACTTAATTTTTTTGTGAAGGGAATCGGTGAAGGGAATCTGGACAATTAACTAGAAACGCTGCAATGAATATGAATGATATTCGCAAAATATGTCAGTGTAAGGAAGATGTACTGTTGACCTCTAATCGGGCTAGAGGGAGCAAATATCACGAAATATTGCCCAAGCACGGAATACACATCCACAGAAAGTTAGAGTTGTGTAGGGTATCATATGGTCGGACTCGTCCAACTATACTGCTCCGCTCACTGGTTTCTTGTTTTATTTTGATTTTCATCAATATATTTAAAATATTTTTACTTTAACTTTACAGATCCTCCTGGTCCTCCATATATCGAAGGCTATACTCAAGGAGAAACTTTACGAAGAGGTCAACTTGTTGAATTGATTTGTCGAAGTAGAGGCGGAAATCCTGCTGCACAATTGATTTGGTACAAAAATGGTCTACAAACCAAAATGGCTTACAAGTAAGTAATATGCACAAAATCAAATCAAGTTATGAAATTAAATCTATTGAGATATATAGAGATAATGTCTCCCTCTCGCCATGTTATAAGGACATTTCATAATACTAATAATAATAACAATTCATTAATGAACTGTTTGTAAGGCATACAAAGTTTTGCTTAAACATTTATTTGAAAAGTAATACACATTTTTAATTTTAATTCGCAACTTGTGTTAATTTTGCCCAGCACAAAAAAATAACGCACATTATAAGCAGCAACGACAGTGTCATTGGCAACCGGGATAGCAATACGAATATCTGCAACTTTTATAATGAAAAGTTGCCCAACAACAATAACAAAGTGCCAGCTACGCTTTTGTCGCTACGCTCTGAACTGAAACGAATCATCAACGTCAAAGTCAACATTTGTGTTTCAACTTTTGTAATCTAACAGTTCACCCACACTACCATCCTAAAAACTTATTATCCCCGGTTTAGCTGATATCGCTGGTGCTTACATTTAACATCGCGTCCCTAACCATTTTGCGAATATTTTCACTGATTCGTTTGTGTTGTTGTAGTTGTTTTATTTACTTTTTTGTATTTTTTGTTTTCATTGCAGAACGATAGGACGAATGTCGGAAAATGTCTACAAATTTACAGCCGAAGCTAGCGACAACAAGGCTCGTTTTAGGTGTGAAGCGATTAATGTTATGTCGCCGGCACCACTTAAAGCTGAAGTTGAGCTGACTGTTTTGTGTAAGTATAGTTTGTGTATCTATCCATTGCACTATCCTTCTCCTTTGCTCGCCGAAGTATTCATATGAAAGAAGAAACAAGTTCCAACAATGGTCTATACTAACAACGCGTTGCATAGTGTTCTATTTCGTTTGTGTAGGGACTATAAAAATAAAAGAGATTGATTTATATAAAACAGGGACATACAAAACAATTGAAAATTCATCAACATCGTTTGTATTGCCATGTGAAATCTCTGCAATTGGTATGGTATTTTTAGAGAGAAATTGACTGAAAGCAGTATACACCTACTGTCACCGAATTCATTTGGATATTCAATCGAAATTCTTCTTCTAATAATGAAACTTTGAATATTTTTCATAAAAAATGCTTATATAGTTTTTTTTTGTTTTTTCAAAGCATTCTCCAGCACAATTTGCACAATTATTCATAAGTTCCTCTCTTACTGCAACAAATGTAACGGTACAACTTTAGATTGATCATTTAAATAAAAATAGTTAGATATTGTTCATTGGGGTTGATAATCGACGGGAGCCATTGATAGGGCTAGCTAGCACCCGGTTTGGGCGGTTATGTTTCTTACAAAATTATGGCCCATTAAAACTCAGCATATATATGGCTTTAACCCCATGTTTTTAACCGACATTACGAACCTTAGAATATTTGTTTTATGAAAAATGTTTTATCACTTTTCAATGTTGAACTGAATATTATCAAAAAAGCCCTTCTAATTAGTTGCCCAGTTTTCCTTTTTCCGTATGATGTGTTGTAATATTCGACTTATAATTGTGGACAGAAACAGGGACATAAAAAAGTTGTCCTTCCATTTCATCCCTTAAATATCACCAGATCATCATCGAACCTCTAGGCGTTGTCCCTGACCATAACCGGAAGTTAATGAAAAATTTCATTATGATCTTCGAGGTATTTCATATTTATCGCCTGAGCTAGTGCATTACCATGTTTGCGCAAACTATTTTGTGACAAAAATTTAATGATATACCACACCATTGCAATCAGAGAAACCATTGAGCAAATCCTTCGCATTTGACCGGACTTGAGTTATTTTTGGTCATCTTCTCGACCATCGAATATTATAAATATGTTGAGTCTTTTATTCATTTTGTGTAGTCGATTGTCAGTGTGCATTCATATATTACATGTCACTGTGCAGATCTCCTTTGCCTTTTTCAACAACAACAACAGCATAAAATAAACAACAATACAAACTTGTACAAAAACACAACATCTTCAATTCGGCTGAATGTTAATTGTTTATGTTGGCCACAGTACAGTAGCAAGTCAGCCACCCACTTCTATGCCACTGTTAAATGCCTTCACAACAAAACATCCAGCCTTTGAAAAGCACTTTCAGTTAATTGTATTGTGTTATGCTGTTGTGTATTTCTTGAGAGTTACTTTGTTTTTGTTTTCATCTTGTTTTGTTTTTCGTTCCTTAGAACACTTACGAAATATTAACATGCAAACGCGCTTCATATAATGACTGTCAACAAATATGTAATTTAAACACAACTCGAAATGCTATGAACTCCACCGTAGAGTTTCGAGTTTATGAATGGGGGGAGTGTTATTGATGCTGCCACATGCGCTACACAGCTTGTTCACGTAATTATTCATCAAATCAAGCATTCCAAGTTGAGTTAACTAACTAGGCTCCACACAGCTACTACAATTTCTCTTCCATAGTTTCATCATCCGCTCTTGTTTTGTTTGTTTTAGATTTGTTAAATTTAGCATAGCAGGGAATATCGTCCCCCTTACAACTTTATATCGATATAGACTAAACAACTGCAAAGCAACTGCTAGATGACAAAAACAACGACTAGGAATACAAGCAGAAGGATAAAAGTTATATAAAATTACACTTTGATAGAGAGATTTCATTAGGCGGTGGAATTGTTATATTCGGTTGCGTAGTAATGCTACTCCTATTCGCCAGGGAAAACAAATTAACAATGCCTATTTTGAAGTGCTTTTAGCATAGTCAAATATGTCCGCAACACACACACACACAAATACATAGTCATGTATATCTTTATGAGTCATTGATGTGTATTTAATAACCTTTTAAATATTCACATATCGCTCTCAACATAAACAGACAATTGATAGCAAATGATCCCGTCAGGATTTGAATGCGTTTAATGTGGGCTTTGAAAGCAAAAACACCAACAAAAATGCAAATAATTTCAGTTTAATAGACATCCGATAGTGGAGACCATTAAAATTCTATAACTCATGCATGGCCAAAAGCCATACAAATATAGGACATTCAAAATCGATATATGACGCAGTGGGGAATACTTAATTGTTAAAACGATATTAAATATTTATTAAACAATATTAGTAAACAAACCAAACAAAATAATTCCGTAGGTGCAAATAGAATCTTGTGATAATATTTATATATATATATATATTTTTTTTTTTTTTGAATGCAAATAATTAGCGGCGTCATGCAAGCGATACATTAGCAGTTCTTCAAACATACAAATGTTTTTCATTTGTTTAATTTTTCATTGCTAAAATAGACATGATGGGTTATTATGATTATTTAGTTGATATTTTTAATGACAATAAACATCACATTCGTTCAATATAGAATAATTTGCGATGCTATTAAATATCAGATATACAAATTTTTTGCCATAATATGATGCCAGTTAGAAGATAATTATAATATACAATATTGTATACTGTCGAATATACCCAAAATTGTTTTCTAAAATAGAATATTTTCTTCTTAAAAAAATGTAGTTGTTTACAACGACATGAAATGTGCTCGACTTCAGTTAAATTTGGTGGTCTATGTCAAACCACGTTTCCTGTTGCTTGTTGCCAAAAAATGTAAAAACACTAACATAAAGAAAAAGTTGTACCACATTACCAGTAGGGGGGAATTAGGAAAAGACAATTGTAACAAAAAAGTAGGTACTACATACATATTTATGATGATGTTTATTCTTGATGAAGCGTAAATGTGTTTGTGGGTCTGATAATCGCTCATACACACACTCATACATTCAGTAATAGATAAACAAGAAAAACACCACATGCATATTTTCACGCTGCTACATATCTTCGTGTACATGCAATAAATAAACGATATTATCGCCACCATACACATACTACATGGATAAAACTTTTTACTCTAACGCAACGTCTTGTCACAACATTATTTTAAATTCTGTTCGAGCTGTAAACTGGATATCTGTGCTATTGTTTGAAAATAAAATTTTGTTTTTTTTTTTTAATTTGTAAGTTATAATGTAATACACACTTTCTGATATTATGTATATGTACAGGTATTATTGTATATTTCTAAAAAAAAAATCAGATAAATCATTATTGGGCTAATGTACATTAGTTCCATGTACCACATTGAGTATTCTTGGAAAACTCACTGCAAATAAAGTTTTATTGTCATTTGAGCAAATATAATTTAAAACCGAAGATATGACATATACAAAACATCACTATGAGGAAAACATAAATCATATTGGAGAAGGAAAATCCGATATACAGCTTTTTCTTTTAGGAATACTTAAGTTTAACATTATTTAAATCCCGTTTACTAAAATATTGTGCAAGGTTTTGAACAAGAATAGAATACATATCTAAAGGTGTGCATATTTAGCATCAAATCGGACATTCCACACCATTAACATTGGAATAACAAATATTTAAAATGTTGACCCATTGTGGGTGAGTTATAAGAAGCAGTAGACCGATGGGTCCCCCAGGATTCAATCTAGCCTAGGTAAAAATATTAGGATGAACGAAGTTTGGATAAATCAAAGAAGTGGACCGATTTTCCCCATCTTCGAACTTAGTTTGGAATTGAAAGAAATGTCACGATGTGCACAATTTGGATTGTAACCAATTATATGTTTGTCTGTTGAGTATATGATATTAGGTATTGAAAATCGGAGAATATTACGCCACACTTGTGACATTTTCGTGATCCTAGAAGCATTTTCCAATGCAAGTAAATGTAATTAGTTATTAATGTTGTTTGGAGATTGAAATATAGCCATATTCGGGTACCATGTCTGTCTGCACAATATCCATGTTGTTTGCACAATATTTACAATGTAGGTTCATATTTTGAACCATATAGAAGTTTTGATAACTTAATAGTATTTTGATGCTTCAAGGGAAATTTTTCTAGTGAAATACATTTACATTGGATGGTAAAAAAAACTTTTTTGTAGAAAATATTAAATTTTAGTCCATGTTTTGCCTAACCCAATATAAATTTTCATCCCCATTTACAGCATTTTAGGATCCTTGGCAGTGATTTAGCATTTCAGATTCTAAGTAGCACACAATATTTAACGTATCATTGTTTCTAAAAAATGTATTTTGATTTTTTAACAAATTCAAAAAGTGTTTTTATGGAAGACATCTTAATTTGTTCATTATAGGACCACAATGTTAACTACCGCCCCAAATGATTATATCTCTCAGCAGCTTGTTCTATGATGTTGTCATTTGGTTTAAGGTTTCATCAACAACACACATACCCAAAATTTCGTTAAAACTTTAAATATGAAAAATCGACAATTTTGTGCAATTGACCTAAAGACGATGGACTCAGTCCATGCCCATAAGGAATGCTTGAGTAATAGTTATGAAGAGGGAACTAAACATGAATTATTCCTATGAAAACGCCGCATGAATTGTAGTTTAATGGAATGGTTTATATTTGGATGATTTCAAAATATCAAAATATATTCATGAGAATATGAATAGCATGATTTCCAAATAAAAACCATATAAACTTATTATATCAACAAAAATTTGATTTGGGTACATTTTTGTTAAAAATAAATAAAAACAACATTTTAAACAAAAAATGGCAAGAACAGACATTGACTTTAGTGTTTTTTTAATGATAACACTTCCATCCAATAACATTGACCCTCTTCTTATATAAGGTATACCGTTGATTGTTGTCGCACATAGCTTTTATCGAAACATTGGAAGCTCAATGCTGTTTTTCTTCCAGAAATTCGCTTTACAAACAAAAAATATGAAGCACAACAAACAACAACAGTAAGAGTAACAAAGTGGAGCAGTCTTTTAAGCTACTTATATTGCATATTACTTATCCATCAAAAATATGTATGCGCGTGTGTGTGTGTGTGTGTGGGAGACTGTTTATTAGGATGAACTAGTGTTTTGCAATTTGTTAAAATGTTGAGTTCACAAAGCATTAGCTATAATACATTTAAAACGAAATATCCGGGGCATCCTAATGTTTTGTACACTTGTCTATTTTGTTTATGAAACACTTGCTTTACACATTCCCACAACTCACAGTTGTATAAACGTCGTCTTCCAGATGTGTTCACGAGCTCCTTTCTGTTCGATATATGTACCCACACACATACGTACACACAAAGAAACATTTATGCACACACTCCTGTATATAGATTTATGTTGCTTTTATATGAAATGCGCTACATATTGCTTTTAGTTTTATTTATTTTGTATAAGTGTGGGTGTGTGTGTGTGTGTTTTTTTCCTGTTCTCTTTGCCATCCTTCCTTGTCACCATCCTATTGCCATCAAATGTGCTGGTACTAGAATCCGCCTTTTGCACACTCATCCGCTTTCACAACTTATTGAAATATTAAAAAGGATGATATTAGAATGCCACACATACATAAGCAAGTAGCTGTCATACGTGAGTGCGTGCTTCCGTCCGTCCGTGCGTGTCGCCATGCTATGAAATTAGATGTGGTATGTGCGTTTGTGTGTGTGTGCGTGTGTCTGTTGTACGGTCGGGTATTTCTTTCTTACATCTGTATGACTTATCATTGTCACACATTGAAATGTTATTAGAAAAATTAAATTCAAAGCTGTCGGTGTTATAGAGCTCACTCTCTTTTTCCTCCTCCCTCTCGCTCCTATTCCAAACATTGGTGTGACTGATTGTGCACGGCTGTAATTGTAAATGTGAGGCAATTCGAAATAATGTTTCCTGTTGATATACAGTAACTTGTTATTTAATATTGGCAAGTGGCACTGGTGATCTTTGTAGGAAACAACAAGTGTTGGAATTATTTTGGCAGTTGGCAATAAAACAAATAGTACATTAACTTTTCAATGATGTGTATATTTAATTTGTAATTCAGTTTGCAACAGCTAAAAATATACACCTGAGACCCCATAAAAAACAAATATTCTTGATCAAAATAAAATTTTATGCCGATTTAGCCATGCCCATCGCCCCGTCTGTGGATAGATATTGAAGATTTTGCACATACGTTGCTAATACGCCAAGGATATTTGCCATCGATAATGGGATATCGGTCCACTTTTTAGGGTAGCTTCCATAAAGGGGTGAAGTATAGGCCCAATTTACTGCCGAATTGATCTAATAAATTCCCAGCCTTTATTTACAGCCCTTGGCACCCAATCACTTCTTCTTATTAATCACATTAGGCAAAAGTACGTGAATACCGAATTTCGACGCTAGGAGAAGCTGCTGAAGTGTTCAAAAGCTGAGTTTTTCTATTTATCGCTATTTGAGTGTAAAAAGTGTTTCTTCGACAATTGGTTTGGGCACACTAAAAAGTGTATACATCATATTAATCATGTTAATAATACCCGTCATTAGGCCAAAATATATATACAATCATATCTCCCCGACATAAAAAGCTTAATATGCCCATAGATTGGAGCAGTATCAAATAAGGTCTCCAGAACAAACATCGAATATCTCTAAACTTTACATTACACTACACCGTTCAGCACTCAGATACACACACATACCATATAGCGTAATTGTGCATGTCATTCATATATCAATTAAGTCTTAATTACATCCCTATAATCTATGTATTGTATAGGCTTCCACTTTTTTTATTTTTTGGTTTTGGATTTATTTTGTCATTCAGCTACCAACTAATTTCATTTTAGCCTAATCAGCTTTATTAGGCCTATAAAGACCAGTTGTTGTAATATATTCAACATCGTTAATATGCATATGTGTGTGGGACTGTGTGCGTGCCGTGGTTGTTGTCGTTGTGTATGCTGGAGAATAAATTTATTTGCGGATCTTCATCATAAATCAAAGTAATGACTCTACACAAAACGAATAACAATCTAACAGATGTGTGTGCTAAACACACTGTGTGGAACATTTGGTTATAATATTTGTGGCACCCACTGTAGTGTGGGCTTTTTTCTTTTATCTCCCTACAGCGGAGCATGGTATAGTTTGCATACCATACCAGCAACAAAGCATATGGCTATGTTTACGATGCTGTTAAAATATTAATGCATTTATGAAGTGAATATATTAAAAATATATATATGTATATACAAATGTATCATAAGCTGTGAGCGTTGTTTTAATTTACGACAAATTTAGAGAGTGTTTGAAAGTGTTTTATTAAATATTTTCATTGTTTTATTTCTTTCTTGTTTTTCTTTTTCCGTATTTAGTTGCGCCAACACATGTCTCCATATCGGGTAACAGCGAAGCACGAGTGGGCGATGTAGTGCCGCTTACGTGTACCACAGCTCCATCGAATCCGCCGGCTGAAATTAAGTGGACGGTTGGAGGACGTCAAATTCGTAATGCAACATCACGTACTGTGGTCAGTCCCGAAGGTAAGTAACTTGAACGGCGATGCCATCGAAATTATGCACATTAAAGAGTATTAACAAATGTCTTTACTTTGATTCTCCCTCAAACTGCGTCATCTTCATTGGTGATACACATCAGGTGGATGGATTACCATTTCAAATATAACGGCTGTCATTGAGCCGAATAAACGTTCGTTGGTTGTCATCTGTCATGGCCTCAATATGCAGCTTACCGAGAATGTTGTATCCACGCATACAGTTAATGTTTTATGTAAGTACCCGTATACGTATTTCTAATCTACATACTTATATACATATCTAGTCGAAGGAAGATCCAAGAGCCGTAAATGTATTTGGTATATTCTATATAATATGATTTCGGATTTACACAATCTGAGGGTTTTGTTAACGGTGTTGAGGGAGGTGGTAACAACTGAAATCATTATCTTCTTCTTTTTGTAATGATTTAAACGAATATAAAAGCAAACACTTTGCGACGCTCTACATTAGTCCTGTGCATGTATCCGCATAATTAATTTGTAATCCATTCATCCGTGTGCCGTGCATTCTGCAGTTGCCAAATACTTAGTTAATAATTACTATAAAATGGAAATTTACTCTTAGGTAGGTTGGTGGTGGTTGTCGTTTATACTTTGCGACTCAAGGATTTTTGAATTTAGTTGATATTAAATTTTAATAGGATATTAAGTTGGAAAATATTTTGGGTTACTTCGAACAGATTCTTTTGATTTTCTAAAGTATTAAAATATTTACCATATTTTAGGAAATCGGTGCAAATTCACCGGAAAAATTTCCATCATTTCCACTAGGGATTTTTAATGCCTTCAAAAATAGAATTTCTTTGGAAAAATCTACATTTCATCATTGCGGTTCGTCACCAAATATACTTAACAATTAACAAGTAAAAACGGTGTTAAGTTCGCCCGGTCGAATTGTTTGTACCCTCCACCATGAGGATGACATATAAAATATGTAAAATAAATGGGGACTCTTAGGAGAAAATTCATGTTATCATAGGATCTTGATTATTCCGAAAAAGACGTAAGAAAACGATGATTTCCTAATAGGGGCAGCGTTTTATGGGGCTATACTAAAACGGCGATCAATAATGAGCATTTTGATCAGTGAAATCATTTTATGTAAAGAGATGGGGGTACCGTTATATGGGGGCTACACTTAAACTTGGTTCGATATTAATAATTTTTAGTACATGTTACATAATGAGAACCCAAAACCCCAAAAAACTAAATTACAGCCAACTCGGTCGAAAACCGTGTCCAAACTCCCATATAACGGTACCCCTAATAATATATCTATCTTAAATTTTGCAAACTCTATCGAGATTTCAACAGATAGACGGAGAAGCATAAAGCGACATAGAATTTAAATCTGATCAAGTGAATATTTCGAGGTGTTGCAAACGGAATGACAAGTCACAGTCACTTTGGTTGAAAAATACGTTAAAAATTGCACTATGTTTTATGTGGACAATGTCAAAGCGTAGACCAGTGTATCCAACGCCAATATCTTTCAATCACTACTTTACAGATTTAGTATAACCTTACACAGGGGGTAGGGTACATCCTTATTTCAGGTATTCGGAAATGCCATATGACAGCACTCCTTTTTAGTATGGCCGCCAGCACGGTCCAATTTTCATTATTCATAAAATGTATTTCTCCAATCCCAAATTATATTTTGGTTTTCACACATTTTCAACGATTTTAAAGGAAAATATTTAACTCCTTTGAACTTAACATCAATCTTACTTGTTAATTCAAATTTCACTCTCTCTTGTACATGTGCATGGACATAAAAATACAAATCCGAACAAAAGTTGAACTCTTATAATCACCAGATAATGAAGTATGTTGTTGCTGTTACCACCCAAAGATTATGATGTCATAATTCCAACATAATTTGGTTTCATAATTATTGCCTTAGATAAGAGTAGCATGTAGTATAATTAGGCCAAAGCCATCTTTGTTTTCGCCATACTTTATCTGTGCTTGAATCTTAAGTAATATGTTGCAATTGTAATTGTGAGTTCATACAAAGATACGCTGTGGCTGTCCAATAATCTGAACAGAGACATTGTCAACTAAAGTCTTAAAGAATGAATTACTCAGGAAATTCTATAAAACTGTATGACCTTCCCGGTAAAAATTGTAATCAATATATAAATGCATATTATGAAGATATGATTTTGTGACTAACATATGTACATATGTATATTAGAAGTAATAAAAACATATTTTTTTAACAAGCCATATATAATTTTTTTTTAATAAAATTTAAATATTAACTATATCCGATGTCGGAAAACAAAAAGTGTTGAAAAATGCCATTCTATGAAATTCTCCAAATGGAATTAATCATTTATTTAGTTGTGAAAGGAATGTTCTTAAATTATGAAGTAAATTTTCTATGTTTCCGTTTTTCCTTTTGCTATGACTAATGGCATGTCAGCCACTGTTCCTCTCCACTAAACTACGATTGTAAGTAAGTAGGTGATGGCGGAGTGGTTGGGAGCAAGAATAATTTTAATGTTTTTTGACGTTTAGTGTTTTTTGACGTTGAAACCATAGATATAATTATTGCTAAAGCTAAGTGCAATGCTGTAAATGAGATGAGTTGTTGTTTTTTCGATGATATCCATCCCAACGATTTCCAGCAATCAACCATCCGCACATTGCTAAACATGTCTTCTGTAACCTACACCAAAGTTTTCATTTGGTCAGATATAGGGTTGCTTCTTACAATGGGACAAAATTATATAAAGCAATGTAAAGGAAATGTATTATAGTAACTACAGTTCATTGTACCAATTGTGTGGAAATCGATTTTCATGAAACCATTGTCACACACATAATTCTAGACCACTTTCCAAATCGCAGACATTAAATCGGACAAAATTATATATGATATCTACATCTGGGCCTAATATTGCTAAAGCTAAGTGCAGCTATGTATATCAAAGTGGCTGTAAATGAGATGAGTTGTTTGAAATCTCCCTTGACAGCACCGTTGTCAATTCAAATCGAAAGATATATAGCGACTTTGGGGCACTATGTATGGGAGCTATATCTAAATCTTGACCGATTTTCACGAAACTTGGCCAAAACGTGTCTCCCCCAATTCCCTCGCTGTTGTTTATGCACTTCCGCATTTCCAAATAAAATGATTATAACAAAATCTTTTGGTTACAAACATTTTACCCTTACCACAGTGTGGTGAAGGGTATAATGATTATAACAAAATCTTTTGGTCCTTTTTCCAGTTAAAATTCTCTCATTAGAAATGTACATTTGTGACGTTGGCTGTGCCCTACACAAAAATCTATTTTTTCTGTTTCTACTTAAATATTCGCTGGTTTTCTCAACATTTTCGTGAAAACATTATGCTTTAGGGTATACCAATTTTTTTCTATGAACGCCTCATTTTTCTGCTAAAATTTCTTTATCCAAACGAGCCATTTTTATGATCACTTTGCCTAAACATTTAAGCCTCCATTTGTGAAAAGGCCTTTTTGCCTTTTTTCATTTATTTTGTTTTTTTTCTCAACTCTAATGAAGTTCCAACGTTGATTAGGCGTAAAAAATGCTGTCATACATACAACTCTTTCGACCAAACACCCAGCGATTGACACAAAAAGCCATACATAATAAGACTTAAATCTGTGTACAATGGCACAGCGTCGTTGTTGCTGTCGTTGTAGTAGCTCCTGTTACCGTTTTTTTTCCTTCCGTTGTTTAGTTTACAAAGGGTTGAGATGCTTTTGCCTTGTTGTTATTTCGCCTGCTGTAAGTGCCATGACTCTTTCCATCTCTTTGCAAACCTTATCGCCATTTCATTGCTTCCATTGTTTGCTTATTAAATACAGTAGAGTTTTAGTTTTACACTCGGTTAAGTGACACAGTGTGATGGGTGTCCTTAGAAAGTAAGTCGCACTCACACAGACACACACACGCACATATGCATGTATTTGTGTACTTAAAACAACAATGAATGAATACAACAGCATTCGAGGGAGTATGGGTGGTGCCACGAAGAAATGGCTGCGGGAGTGGGATGTCGTCGTGTCGAAGTAAATGAATAGAAAAGCCAGTAATAAAACAAGAGCAAATTATCACAGCAGGATCTCGGTTGATGTGGCTGCTTCTGCTGTTGGCGTTGCTGCTGCAATAAGCAATACTTGTATCATAAATGGCACAGTTGTCATAATATCGGCTACATTGTTGCCATTTCCCTGCTTTTAATTCTGTCCCATTTACAGTTGTTGTCCCTCGTGTATTCGCAACAATGTTGTGATCAACAGCAGCAGCAGAAGCAACAACACCAACGAAGTAATCTTAGTTATTGTAGGGGAAGTTAATTTTGTCTGATATGCTGTTGTCACATTGAACAACATTTGACTATTTCAGTTTATAACGGTGCTTAGTGAGCGAACTTTTATTCTAAGCGTGGAAATTAAAGTAAATTAAAACTGATTAGACTCATTGTAAAGGTAATTTCATTGCGAGTCAATGAATGGAGTCAATTTTCCAAATATATTATTTATTTAAAAAAATAGCATATTAATAGAAAGCAAGGGGATGTGATTGGTCGGACCTAAATTACATTTGTTATGGAAACAGAGAATCAATTTTTGGAGGTACTATAATACCAAATATTCTATATTATAGCCAATTTGGACGATATCGTTGCACGCTTATGCGACAATCTGTAAATCAGTCTTCATCCATACTAATACTGGAAATATAGGAACAAGTAAAAACGATGATAATTTCGGCACGGCAGAACATTTTATACCCCCCGCCTTGAGGATGGCAATCAAACCATCTAAAATTAATGGGTTATCCTAGGAGAAAATTCATGTTATAATAGGACCTTGAACATACCGAAAAATACGTGTGTAAAAAAAATCTCAAAATATTTAAGAGTGGGGCTACAAGTTATATGGGGCTATAATAAAATGATGATCAATATTAATATTTTTGGTAGTGGGGTTTGAGAGTCAAAACGTGTTCAAAAATCTCAAAATAGCGACATCGGTAAAAATTTATAATTATAAGGGCCGAGATGAAGTGATACGCATAGGTGTTCTTCAATGAGAACCCATAATACCAAATTGCAGCCAATTCGGTAGAAAAACGTGTGGAAAATCCCTAGAATAGCAAATATTGGGGTTGCCGTTATATGGGTGCTACACTAAAAGGTGGACCAATATATGCCATTTGCAATACTAAA